AGGCGCGAGTGGATTATTCGAATTTTCTGATTCTTTAATGGGCGCCTAAAATGAAAATGATATCAAAATAGAAAACTTGCATGCTTATTATGAAAAAGATAATAATTTAAAACTTACAATTTTAGAATTTTTCCGAATGCTTTCGTTGGTTTTTTTATTCGAAACATCTTTTCTCATCAAGTTATCAAAATTATCATCCAATTTTTCACTTTCCGAAATAATACCTGGAAAAGAGAATCACAATTCATGTTTATTTTCGGATTTATTATCTTTTCTTTTATTTTTCACATTATAATATATATTTATATAAATTTTTTTTTTTTTTTTAGTTTAAAAACTTACAATTATTACTGATTCTATGACACAAAGGAATGAAAGATTCGTTTGAAGTGTGCCAAGGACAAACTTCGGATTCATCTTTTTTATATTTTTCATCTTCTAATTCACTGTCACTATGCGTTGATTCCACATCTCTTTTTTCACATTTTTTATTGCCATCTACATAAAGTTAAAAAAAAAAAAAAAATTATTGTATCTAATGTTTTATTACATAAAAAAAAAAAAAAGAAAAAAAAAGAAAAATCAAATATAATTTTCTGTTTTTTTTTTTAATACCTAAAATTGCTTGTAGTTGTTTTTTGGCTTTCGTTAAGGTATCCTTTACCGGGATATCGTTATCATTCTCATTATTACTTTTAAAATACAAATTATTCGAACCTTCTTCATTTTCGATGAGTTTAGAGACTTCTATCATTTTTTCTAATTTATTCATACCTTTGTTCTTTAAATTTTCGTTTAATTTATCAACGATGGTAATGCTGTCGGCATCCTTGTTTACGGAAGAAGAATTATTTCCTGTTTTTTGCCTGCATCAAATTTTTTATTAGGATTATTTGTCGTGTTTTAATTTTATCAGGATAAAATAAAAAAATTATAAATAATTAATTACTTTTCATTCTTTGGCAGTGAAATTGATAATTTTTTAGATGATGCATTTTTAGCTAATTTTTGTCGCAATAAAAATCCTCTCACGTGAGCTTGTATTATAATAACGGATTTGCGGAAGTTTTTAAATTTTTTCCTAGCCAAATATCTTCTGTAATATGTTTGAATTTGTATAGCCGCACGAATTTGTATTCTAAGATTATTAACTAGTCTTTGTGCTAAAATACTACGCCAATATGACTGAAAAAACAAAAAAAAAAAAAATGAACATGGTGTGTCTTTTAAGTTAATATAAATGACAAAAGTGTTAAATACCTGAATGGTTATAACTGCTTGACGCCATTTAAGAAATTTTTTCCTATCTAATCCGGCTCGAAACCACCTTTGAATAGTAACAATGGCCGACATTATTTGCTGATGAAGTCTGTAGTCTAATTTTACTTTTTCTGATTCTTTAAGAAATATTTTTGTGCTACCCAGTTGATAATTGTCACGATTGAAATTAAGGGTAGTGAGAAAATGTTTTACGTTTGCAACCGAACTTGATGCACCATTGGGTAATAATATTCTATAGAGTTGTGCAAATTCTTCATACGTCAATCTAACGTTATATCCAGCTTGACGAATTCTTACTGTTTCTAACATACCCGTGTATCTTAATTGTCGTTGAACGGTTTCTTCGTCAAATTTATTTGGTATCTAAAAATAAAAGAATATTTTAATTAAAATGGTGAATTTTTTTTTTAACTAATATGTGGAAAATCGGTTTTGAATTGTTTTACCTTTTGGCCATTACTTTTAATGCATCTAATAAAAAATGGATTTGCCATGTTCAATGTATCCATTAAACTATGTAAATTCATTTGAAATTGAGCAGTGACTGTAAGAGGTTGTTTTCGTTTGACAAGAGTTCCAGAACTTTGAGTTCTACCAGCAAGAGTTTTTAAACTTTGTAAATTTTTCAATCCTCTTTTTCCTTTTTCTCTCGGACGAAATGATTTATTTTTCCTGGAAAAAAAAAAAAAAATTTCACGTTAAACAAAAATTAAAAAAAAAAAAAAAAAAAAAAAAAAACGATTCTAAAATGTAAGATGATCATGCACCATTTAAATACTTAAAAAAAAAAAAAAAAAAAAACTTTCGGTGATAGCATGCTTATGGTGACTATTTTAAAAAAAAAAAACTAAAAATAATAATAAATGCTCCAATAAAAATATTCAACAGAAAATGAATCAAATATTAAATGTATTATTATTACTCCATTTTACCAAATTCATTTCAAAAAAAAAAAAAAAAAGTCATAACTGCAACAAAATAAAATATTTTTATAAAAATTTTTAAACAAATGCTTTTTTGAAAATGTTTTCATCATTTAAATATTTTAAATTACAATAAAATCAGAAATACAATCATATTAAATTCATCTTTATAATTTTTTTATTATCAAACCTTGTAAAGTTTGGAAAATAACTATTTATATTTATTATTATTATTATTAAGTCTCAATTTTCAGCCTAAAAACTAAAAAAATTTTACTATCACCCGTCGTCGACAAATTAAAGGCGCCAAATATTAAATTTTATTTAAACACGCACACACACACACACTCAAAAATTTCACCTACATGACAATTTGATTCGCTTTTTCCATTAATTGTGATGAATTGTTACGATTTTCTTCGACTTTTTCGTTGCATTTGTTTCCATAAATTCGTTGCCTTGTTCGCTGAATATTTGGCACTTCAGTTTTATCTCTTGACCATGGCACCACTTCACCTTCTTTCCATCGTCTAAATTACATTATAAACGGAACTAATAAGTAAAAAAATTTAACAAAAAAAAAAAAAAACAAAACATTTCCGCCTGTCATATGTTTTTTATCCAGACATATAAAATAAAAAATAAAAAAGTGCCAATAAGCATGAAATAATAGTTAAAAAAATTTTCCCTTGATAACTATCTTTACCTAATTACTTAATAATACTTTCAATATTTTACACACGCACACACACACACACATATATATATATATATATATATATATATATATGTTTTAAATAATTCAAAAAATGTCATACTATTGATTAATATAAATACTATAAATACAAACTATATAATATAAACTATAAATACAATAATATAGCAATTCATTTAAATAAATTATTAATATACGCATTAATTACTACTATTCATGCTTGATAAAATTTATTCATGCAATCAATAATCAAAATGCATGCAAATAATATTATTATTTTTTACAATAAATTGCTTGTTTGGAAACGTCTCTAAATCGTATTAAAATTTATATACAGAATAATATTTTATGATTACAATAATATTTATCATTTATAAAAAAAAAATTATTTTTTTATTGTTAATTTTATTCTACTTGTTAAAAAGTTAATATTTAATTAACTGATTAGTGTTAATGGAAAATTGTTATGTTAAAAAAAAATTTAAATTTCTGATAAAGTTCCTAAATGTAGTAAATAAATGTAGAAAATAAATTAAAAACTATAATTAAATGATTAAAGAAACTTTAAAATAATTTTTTCAAACATGAAATTTCTCATTATTATTTTATCTTTTCGAATGTTGACCCTTTTTTTTTTTTTTTTATTCCTACAGCTAATAAAAAAAAAAAAAAAAAAAAGAATTTAAAAAAATTTTAAGAAATATCTTTACAAAAACTTACGCTATTCGATAAATAGCATAATTAACTGCAGATATGGTAATGATATGGCTAAAATATTTAAATTTATAAAAATAAAAAATTATTCATTTTTAAAAATATAATTTTTAAAAAATAAATTTGTTAATAATATTTGATTAGAGAAAAATATTTTTTTAAAAAAAAACTTACCTTAGTACGTTTTCATTTGGAATGTGATTGCGATATCTTTGTTGCAATAAATTTGTTTTGTTTCCTTCTGTAAGAAAAAAAAATAATTAAACGACTAACTCTTGGTAGTTGTAAAAAAAAAAAACTATATTTTACTTACCGCGATTTTGTCTATGCGTTCTTCCGGCTGCTAAAAATGCATAATAACCACGAAAAAAAGCACGAACTATTGCCCATCTAAATACCGCGACAGGATCAGCTCCTACTAATTCTCTTACAAATGCCATACTACTATTTTTTAATACTCCAACAATATCATGCCTCATCAGATCTAAATTTTTTTCCCTCATTTCTGCGACTTGATATTTCACTTTTCCAGCATAATGTCGTACTATAAATGCTGATTCTCTTCTCTGAGGGACTTCATAAAATTCATTTTCTTTGTGAACGGAATTAAATTTTTGAACTAAAGTTTCATTAGTTGCACCAGGAAAACTAAAACAAATTCATGTGAAAATTTTAGTGTAAGGAATATTAGTTTAGTGTAGTAAATATTTAAAAACACTCACTTGCACTGATCGTCCAAAACACAAAGTAATCCCAAAGGTTTTCCTTCAATCAATTGCAAACAACCAGTATTATCCATAAATTCAATATCTTTCCATCTAATATTTTCTTTTCTATATTCTTCTTGTTCATATTTAAAAACGTGTTGATTAAAATAAAACTGTAAATGCTCATTTGCATAATTTATGCATAATTGTTCAAAGCTGTTGCAATGCCCAAAATCTTCGAAACCGAAAATATCTAAAACTCCTATTGAGTTACCCTGATGTTGTCTCAAAGTATCTTTCTTTGACAAAAGTGCATGATTTAATTGTAAAACAATCCAATCGAATAATGCACCATATAAACATTTTGCCATGGCGTCTCTTGCTGCAACAGCTTCCGGAAGCCTTAAAAACAAGTTTTGTACATTAAGAAAAAAAAATTTTGTTTTGATAATTTTTTAAAAGAAACTAAGAATTACAATACTAACCTATAATTAATTATAAGAGTTTCTCCAGAAGCTTTTGCTCTCTTGGCAGTTAAAGCAGTTAAAAGTGTTTCTTCCTTCACCCTTAACAATTCGGATATTAACGCAACCACTCCTGGATTACAAACAGCAACTGCTTCATCGTGGTGATAAGTCGCTTTTCGAGGTTGAAATTCTACGTTACCTGCCCATAAAAAAAAAAAAAAATCAATAATGTAAATGGTAAATTAAAATGAATCAGAAGAAATAAAAGCCAAACTATAAGTATTACCAAGTAGTAAAACAGAAGACAAAACACTGAATAGCCTCCTTTGCTTCTCCGTATTAAATCCTACCATTTCCATTGATTGTTTCAGTCTTGAAAATTCATATTTTTCATCTACGTTGTCCAAAATAAAACATCCGCTCTAAAATTTTAATATTAAATTAATTCTCTCACATTTTATTTGACACAGGTGAATGATCAACGCCAATAACTTTTATAAAAATTCAAACAATTTTGTTTCTACCCCTTTTTACTAAATATGTTTACAGATAGTTATTGAGAACAAATAAAAAATTATACAATAAAAGATTTATAAACAACCTTATTTAAATAGTTGTAATCTTGTACGTTTTGTAAATGCAACAATTTTTTTTCAGCATCGGAAGCACCGCTTAACAAATAATAAAAAACATGATAATTTCTTTCATT